CCCCAAATCTGGTGTGTGCTAGAGGTTCTAACTACCAATGATTATAATGTGGAAACAATTGCTACAGCTAAAAGCATAATGGACCTAATAAACTACAAATTCATATGTACTCTGCAAATTTGGGATCAAGTTTTAGAATCTGTTGACAATGGATGTAGCTCTACAGACGAAAACCATTACTATTGACAAAGCCTCTGAATTAATCAAGGGATTAACAAGGCAGATTCAAAATATTCATGAGACTGGACAATGTTTTTGAAAAGGCAGAAAAAGTTTGTGAAAAATTTGACATTGAAGACAATTTTCCTGAAAGCGATGAAAGCGAATAAAAAGACATGATTTAAGCAAAAGGTTAGATGCTGGCTATGACATTACCCAACAACAAAGTTTCAAAACTCAGATAACTGAAGCAATAGATAGAATAATTTCTGAATTCAAATGGAGATTCGAAAAACTATGCAACATTCACCACTTTTTCAATTTTTTGACAGTACAAGGCATAACTACATATTCAGTTGAAGAACTAAAAAACCGTGCTGCTGACTTGAGTATCAAATATTCTTCAGATATAAATACCATAAAATTTTGGGCCAAATTAGAAACTTTGAAGAGTCAAGTTGAAGCGACTGCATTATTTGATAAATGTGAATGTCAGTCAAGTCTGAATCTTAAAGCTATAGTAGAACTGTTAAAAGAAATGTTTTCCAACTTAGTAGTCTCTATAAAGAATTTTTAACGATGCCAGTGACTAGCTTTTTGCGAGAGGTCATTTAGTAAGCTCAAATTGATAAAGACGCACCTGTACTCAACGATGGCCAAGAAAGATTGTCTGGGCTAGCAATTTTGTCAATTAAATGTGACACAGAATAGCTTCTGTTATATGACAATGTCAGCAAAGACTTCACAATGAGGAAAGCGCAGAAAGTAAATCTATAAGTACAGTAGAGCGCCATTTATCCGAAAGCCAATCAACCGAAACGTTGGTTAACCGAAAGCATTCCATACGGACTGTGTTGTGCTGAATTGAACGTTTTTAATACTAGATTAACTTCTAAAGTATAATTTTTTTTGTTTTTATATTTTTCAATATATTCATTTTGTTTGTACAAAATAAAGAAATAATTTTTAGCAATACAATAGCCATGATTATTATTATAAAAATTTTTGTTAGGCTTAACATTGATGAAAATTCAACACGAGCGACACACAAAGGAGAAAAATTTCAACGTGGGATTATTAATATACTATTATTGGGATATACTAATATAATAATTACATGGGATATTAATAATGTATTTTTTCATACATAATCCGTTATCCGAAAAATAAGTTATATGAACAACCCCAGTCCCCAATTGATTCGGATAAACAACGCTCTACTAGGTAGTTTTTTTTTTTTTTTTTTTTTTTTTTTCAAATNGGTTTGCCTTAGCCTTGGGTCTTTACTATCTCTACTAACGAGTGTCTGGTGTCATTTTTGTATTGTATTATTGTGTATTTTGGCAAATATTTTTGAATAAACATTTTTCTTTACTAAATGTATTCTAAATTCTACTAAGTAGGTACTGTACTTATAAATAAAAATTTAGTTTTTAGATTTATTTTTATAGAAATTTTCCATTTTATTGTCAGAGCCAAGTAATATTAGAGCATTTTTCAAGGGCATAGTTACAGAAGTTTGCACCTGGTGCATAAAAGGCTAGTTATAGCACTGTTTGGTATATCTATATATATAAATGAGGATGTTTTATTCCTTAGATGTTTTTGCTGAGCTTTACTTTTTCAACCTAGTTTAACCAGTTTTTTTATGGGATCACACAAAAGCAATTATTCTTGCATTTTTATGGGATTTTTTTATTTAAACAAGTCTTATGTCAAGTTAAGGTTAGCAACTTTCATCACATGCGGGGTGCATGTGATGAAATTTGCTATCCAACATCACAACCTATCCAACATGGATCACTTTTCAAATATTAATAGTAGAGCAGTATTAATTAGTAGTTGTTGACCATACTCTCTTCCAGGAGAAGGTCAACTATTACTTTTGGTAGAATTACAGTCGACCCCCCTATAATTACGGTCCCTATAATTACGATTCCTATAAAACTACGAAAAAATTGCTACCGGTATCCGTAAAAAGTAGTAAAAGTTCCCTATAAACACCTCAAACGTCATCGGGCAGCCGAACTACTTTCCCGCCGTCCGTAGCGCCACGCTACGGAGAGATTTCTATCGTCTGGACAGTATTATATAAATTATATATAAATTAGGTACTGTACATATAATTATATATTAATTATATATAAATTAGGTACTGTATATATAATTATATATTAACTTATTGTAACTTTGTTATAATTAAATATATAATTTCCGCCGTCTAGCGTGGCGCCACGCTACGGAGATTTTTACGCTAACTATCGTCTGTCAGTATGTAAATTAGGTACCGTAAGTCTAATACAGTACTGTAATTTTATACATTTCTTGTGAAAGAAACATTTCTTATTCAACGGCGATTAAAATTATTTATATTAATGATGTCTCCGAAGTTCTACGAAGTTTTCACAGAAAAATAAGTTGTTAGAAATCGGCCGCTCTTTGCTGAGCTGTTCCGCGACGAAAACAATGTTGAGCAATGGCAATGTCGAATGGTGACACTCGGTAAGTAATCCTACAATTTTTTATTTATAGCGTAGTTTATACAGATTATTTCCAAAAAATATATACGTGTTTTGGAAATGTTGAGTCGGATTAGTCTAGAATCGATTAATTTTATGGAAGAAAATCTTTCAAACAGCCGTAGTCCGTAAACTTGATACGTGTCGGGTTGTGATTAAAAGGATTCGTAAGAAATCGGATTCCTAAAGAATGGAACGTATCTCTATCTTATAGGGGGGTCGACTGTACTTCAACCCCCTTCCACAACAGTCTCTTCTTTCTATCAGACCAGCAGTATGGTGGCATTCAAATAGGAAATACAAGGTTACCTGCAAACAAAGGGTTTAGGTGGTTTCTGAGGGTATAGAGTTTAAATATTTGGTCCATTTTTGCAAGATTTGATTTGTTGGCAGATTACCATTTGATATTTTGGCTGTAAATAGTACAGTTTCTTAGAGTTAACATTAGAAAAGATTTAAGATATCATATTTTTTCAATTGTACCATTTGAGTATCATGATAAATGTGACAATGGTAGGCTGAAATAACCAAACTTTTTATATGGTTTTTGTTTTAATGTTTGTTATATTATAGTATTTGATTTATATAACTACAAAGGTTATCATACATAAGAGTTTATCACACCAAGAGACCAATCTAACACATTTTAAATTAAAAATTCTTTATTCCTCTACTGTACACAATTTAAACAATTTTTTAAATGTGTTAGATTGTTGTTCACTTGGTGTGATAAATTTTTACATAAGATAATCTTTATAGTTATATAAATGAAATACTATAATATAATAGAATATGATAGAAGGATTAGAAGTACAAAATAATCTTAATGTTTGTTTTTATTTTTTGTCCAGGCAACGTTCAGCTTACCTGGTATACAATAATTTAAAAAACTTTCTACTGTTGCCATTTTTATCTCTTTCTGTATCTCTGATTTATCAATATTGTAATTATTTATTTTGAATCGTATTTACATGCCATAATTAAAGTTTTGCTTTAAAATGTATCCCTTCTGTTTGCATTTTTAAAATTTTTCTAATTATTAATTTATTTCACTTATTCTGTTAACATACAAAAATATTTGTCCTAGTTCCTAATCAAAATACAGAAAAAATTTTAAATTAGTTAAAATTATAATTATAAAATATAAATTAAGACAATTCAGGCTTTAATATACAATGGATTCTGCTTAATTGGTAACACTGGTTAATCAGAGCAGCCACTTTATCGGGCCTAATCTCAAAGAACGGAAACCAAACTAATAAATTAATACATAATTTAATTGCTTAATTGGGACAGTGGCAGAAATTTTTTTCTGCTACTGTCCCAGTAAAGGAATTTATCAATTTTTGATATATTTTAGTAATCTTCCGAAAATATGTAGGCACTAAGTACACTAATGTCATGTATGCCTAACAGTTGGCAGAGACAAGGTGATTTTGTCTTTTGCTTGGGCAGTTCGGTTTTTCCAGAGGGGGTCAGCATAGTGGGACGTATCACACTGATTTCGTCTGAGGCAGACCTCAATGCAAGTTACTGACCCTGCTCTGGATTGGACTGGACGATTCCTTTAAAAGCAAAGAGACAAATATCGCCAAACAATTTTGCAAGGTCTCTTGACTGAGTTGGAAGACAGCTAGAGTTCCCTTGAAAAGTATTGTGTGCATAATTATGTTTAGATTCAGACAGCCGCCATCTGATTGTTGAGACCAGCAACAAGCTGGCGAATTCTACGGATACTCCCATTGAAGTGGCCCATCTCCAAGTAAAGGAAACTGTGCTCAAAGGAAGACCGTAAAATGACTTTTGGACGAATCATTTTCTTTCTCCCTTTTTAGTTAGAACATGTTCTAACTAAAAAGAAAGAAAGGAAAAATTGTTTGATCAGGAACAGATCGAATGGTCAACCCTTGTTTACATCACTACTAATATTTGGCAATACTAGCATTATGTGAATCAATTATTTATTGTCGTGAGGGGCAAATTTATAGTACAAACATCTTCTGTATTTTGGTTTAATAAAACATTAAAATAGGTACCTACTTATTTATTTACCTACATATTACATATTTTATTGTACAATTTATTATTAGTTCGCTTAACTGGGTCAAAATGAATTAGTCCTAGTTAAGCAGAATCCACTGTATAACTAATATAATTGAAATAATAGAAACATTGCTCTTGTAATAAATATAAATCTTATCTAACTTAAGGTTTAATTTAACTGAGTCTAATTTTTTCCTTTTTTCAAGAATCTAACTATTCTAATTACCTTTATCTAAAAATGTATGTATTAATTAAATTTTTTTCCTCCAAAAATTTTAGGATGATTTACATATTGTCATTAGAAAACAATTATCAAATAATAATCCCAAGTGAGTATNACAATATACAAAACGAGATAATAGATCTGCTGCATCAAAGTGTAAAGTCTCATATTATTGATGAAATAAAAAAATCAAAATATTTTTCCATAAATTTAGGCTATACTCCTAACATTAGTAAGATACAGCAAATGACTCTTGTAATCAGATACGTTTCAATCAATAAATTTGACGCTGATGTTGAAATTAAAATTAATGAAAGCTTTTTAGGCTTCTTATCAGTCGAAAGATCCACAGGAAAACAAATGTCTGATATTATAATTGGAGAACTTAATGACTTGGGTTTAAATTTGCATGATATCAGAGGGCAGGGAAACGACAACGGGTCCAATATGAGGGGCGATAAAGCAGGAGTGCAATCTAGAATTAAACAATATAATTCGCGAGCATTCTATGTTCCGTGTAGTAGCCACTCTCTCAATCTTGTTAATGATATGGCTAAAGCATCCTTGGAAGCCGCTAATTTCTTCAACACGGTCCAAAAAATATATTTATTTTTTTTCGGCATCTACTTTTCGATGGGCAATACTTTTAAAACACATTCAAGGCTTAACTTTGAAACCATTGAGTGACACTAGCAGGGCCGGATCATCGCATAGACAAATGAGACAAATATCTAGGGCCCAGTTTTTAGAAGATCCCGGTCAAACTGTTTATTTTGAAAACATTTGTAAATAAAATTCTTCAGATAATTTAGATTTTTTTTATAGCAATTAAATATTTCTTATTAATAAAAAATTAACATTTGTTTTAGTTTTTCACATTATTTAGTTTTGTTTTATTTATTGTTTTATATTATTTGTGTGCTTTATTTCTTGTGGGAGAGGGGGGCCCAGTAAAAAGAAAGTGTCTAGGGCCCCAAAGTGGGTTAATCCGGCCTTGGACACTAGATGGAAGAGTTGGATAGAGACCTTAAAGCCTTTGAGATTTCATTTGGGAGATGTATACGACGCCTTGCTAAGCATTTACGAAAACCAAAAAATTGATAATTTAAATTAATAAGAGATGAGGCCTCGGGTTTATTAAATTGTATTAAACAATTTAAGAGTTTGTGTTCGTTAGTTATTTGGCATAAAATACTAAATTCCATTAATCCAATAAGCAAGTTTATGCAAACAAAAGATTTTGATCTAGCCTTTGCACTTGATCTTTTACAAAACTGCAAAATATTTTTTAAGAATCTTCGATCGGATTCGTCCTTCGATGAAACTATTATTGATGCTACCGAAATTGATGTAGAGGCTAATTTTGGATCAACAATAACACGACACCATGTTAGAAGAAGGAAAAGGAACTTCTTATACGAACCCATCAAAGATTCAAAAGAAAAATATAGAGTTTTTTTATTTTACAATCGATCAAGCACTAAATGCACTAAATGCTAGATTTGAACAACTCAGTAATCATAGTAACTATTTTCAATTCTTATATAATATATACGATTTAAATATCATGTCCAAAGAAATGCTACTAAAACACTGCAAGAATTTAGAATGCATTTTAACTGATGGTGATTCTGTTGACATAAAAAGGGTAGAGTTAGCAGAGGAAATTTCAGCAGTATCTGCGCTTTTGGGCAAAAAAGAAAGCCTAAGCAATGTATACTGAGCTTAATTACAAAGTTAAATTTTGCCCCAAATCTTACTATTGCTAACGATGCCAATAACTAGCAAGTGTCGAATGGAGTTTCTCTAAGTTAAAATTAATTAAGAACTTTTTACGTTCGACTATTACACAAATCGTCTTAATGGTTTGACCATGTTGGCAATTGAGCATGAAATTGCTGATCAAGTAAATTTAAAAGAAACAATAAAAAAAGTTTGCAGAACTGAAAGTAAGAAAAAAGTTTTTTGTGATTTTAGCGGAGTTGATGTTATCTTGTTTTATTTTCAAAATAATGGCATTTTGATTGCTTGTGCAATAATACATTTTTAATAGCATTTAAAAAAGTTAACAAATTATATGGTTAACAATTTGTGGCTAAGTACAAATATTTCTTAATTTCTACTGTTTTGTACTGCTTGATTATTAATGTTATGTTGTATGTTTCTTTCTAAATATATGGTTGTATTAAAATTTAAATNCAATCATAGCAAGTGGACTTATCCTGATTTAGTCTCTGCAAGATGCCCGGTCCCTCACTCACAGGAAGTGCCAGTTCCATCATTTTATATATTAAGGGCCGGCAATTTGTCTTTTTGTCCCGGGCTAGAGTGGGCCTGCTGTCAGTTGGTTCGATATGACTATGGGTGTGCATAAGGCTATGTGATGCCTCACTGGTTATTCAATGTATACTTACAAGTTAGACAAATATATGAGGCAGTTGAAAGAAGAGCGAATGGGTGTGAAAGTGGGTGGTGAACTGTTCAATTGATTGTTACATGCTGATGATACCATTTCACTGGGTAAAAAGCCAGAGTAAAGTTCAGTCTTATGTCAAGATTGAATGAGTGTAGGAAAAAAATGGCATTGAGAGTAAATGGAGAAAACGAAGGTGTTTGAAAGAAATGAGCAAATGAGTGAGTGCAAGATATTGTTATACAGTGTTACAATAGAGCACGTAAGGGAGTTTGTTTACTTGAGGACCACCTTTGAGAAGAATGGCAGAACATATAGGGAAATTGGAGCTTGTATGAAAATAGTTGAGTACAAAAGGGAGATTGATTCATAAGAATGTTTTTGAAGAAGGCAAGTGTGGCTATGTACTACAAGACAGTGATCCATCCAATTCGGTTGTAAGGTTGTAAGGTGTGGGTGTGTGGAACAGAACATAAGAGCACTGTTATTGCAGCTAAGATATCTGAGATCTAGTGAGTGACAAGGATGTGTTGCTGCAGTGTGGTGTGAAAGAAAATGCAATGGAATGAGTGCATCAAGGATGACTTCATTGGTTTGGTCAAATGGAATGAATGTCAAAAGATGAGGTATGTAAGTTGTGTGGGGGCAGTGTGCAGGGAAGACCAAGGACAAGATGAACTGAGCAAGTGGAAGTGTATCTGAAAGAGAAACAGATTCTGAGTGAATGTAGGTACTAAGTGTATGAAAAGAATAGTGATTGTGAAAGTGAAAGAGGTATGTATGGATAGAGGGAAATGGCACAAAGTTGTGAAGTGATGTGGTATGTCAGCAGATTCCAGGATGAGAGTGGGTACATTCCTGTTGTGCTATGCCCTGACTATATGATGTTTGTAAGAGAACTGAAGTTTGCAGGATGTCATACACAGGAAATACACTTTCATCTTGGTCACTTCTCTGGGGAATGCCATTAGTAGTAGTAGTAGTAGTGGTAGTAGTAGTAGTAGTAGTAGTAGTAAGATACAGTTCAAGTCATTTTATGAGATTTCACGTATTGAATGCTATTTTATTTTAAACAAATCACATCAGTAATTAGAATTTAAAAATAATTTTATTTCATATTTTTACATTTACATGATGGCAAGATTTTTGAAAACAATATCAAAATATAATTAAAAAATTGCTNAGAATGCAACAGCGGTGGTTATTACAATTTACTGTATAAAATTTGCGGTTTTTTAAACGTTTTGGAAAATTTTATTATTAATTCTGTAATTTTTATTTATTATATGTGTATTTATAAAATTATAGTGTCAGGCTATAGATTTTGAATTTTGACTATAAGTGATTTACTGTAATTTTACAGTATGTGTATTTATAAAATTATAGTGTCAGGCTATAGATTTTGAATTTTGACTATAAGTGATTTACTGTAATTTTATTTCATATTTTTACCTTGACATGTTCTCTTATCACCAGATAACCGATAACCATCAGGACATGCACAAGAATAAGAACCAGGCTCATTAAGGCATAATCCCATACATAATT